CGTTGGCATTTCGTGGGACCTTGTATGGGGGCCTCTTGGATGTTTTGGAGACTCTTGAGGTCGCTGTTTGGGCCCCTTGGGGGCCTCTTGGAGCCTCGTGGGGCCTCTTGGGGCCGCCGTCGTGGGGCCGTCGTGGGTCCGTCTTGGGCGACTTCCTGGGCCGTCCTGGGGCGCTCGAGGGCCGTCTGCTGGCCCTCCTGGAGGCCTCTTGGGTAGTCCTGGGGTGGTACCTGGGGACGTCGGGCCGTCTGGGAGCGTCGGAAAGCAACCAGGCGAGGACGCCAACATGTCTCAAACAACGACGGCGAATCAACGATGCTTGCCTCCCAGGGTCCTCTTGGGAAGCATCTTCGAGGCCTCCTGGGGCATCTTGGAGGCCTCTTGGACCATCTTGAGGCTACGTAGGTCGGGACGATCTTTGGGCGTCTCGGGGCATTCTGGGGCCGTCGTGGGCCTCTTTGGGCCCTGTTGGCCCGTGTTGGGGCCCCCATCGCTCAGAAACAGTCGCGCGAGAAACCGCGAGAAGCCCCATGAGAAGATTTCGCGACGTGGGGTCTGGGTCTCTGAGCGACCCCTCAGGAGTGAGGACTGAGCTAGCGAGGATGATGGCAAGGACCCGAGGGCAATGGCCCACTCCGTGCCCAGAGGGGCGCTGGCGGATCTACGCCGCCCAAGGCCAGCCCACGCTGCAGCCCTGCCCAGCTCTTGCGCCCAGGTGGGGGCGCATCTCACTGGGCCCCTGGGCCTGCGAAACTCACTGGGCCCCCCCAGCCCTGCCCAGCTCTTGCGCCCAGGTGGGGGCGAATCTCTCTGCGCCCAGGTGGAGGCGAACCTCACTGGGGGCAATCCGAATCCGGGTCAGTCAAGGCCCTGCAGGATCTTGCAACCAAGCCCTGGTCAGTGCGCCCCTGGCTCTGCAGGATCCATAAATGTTCGCCGTCTCTTGCGCCCCGACCGGAAGCCAAGCGACAGCGCCCGGCGTGAAAAAATGGCATCGCTCAGATCTCTGGGCCTCCCTCGCCTCTCTCCCCTGCCCTCGCCCGGAGACCGATAACGTTACAGCTGCTCCCGGGACCTCGTCGGGGACGCGTTCTGACTAGCATTCCGATGAGCATCCAGCCGTGGAGACGAGGACTCTCCATGACGAGCAGCGGCATCGGTACCTTTTACTCCTCCGATGTCCCCTTCAGATCGAGGCGGGAGCGAACCTGACCGTCCCAAGCTGCCCCAGCTGTCCCCGCCTGACCCCCCCACGCCAGAGGACCCGAGACATTGGGTCACGCCATCAATCGTGTCGACTCCGGCGGTGGTTCCTGCCACCGCGGGGATTGTTCAACATGGAACGATCGGCCGTTTCCGGAACGTGAGATCTTTGAACATCGACCGATTCTGGGTAGTTGGCGGCGTTCAATGTGGAACGCCGGCGGCGGGGTCGCTGCGAATTTGCCGACATTGGGCCTCTCGAAAGCAAACTTACAGTGCCGTTTTTAATACATGCTCCGCGTGCGGATCATGTACTAAAAATGCAGGGATTTAGCACTGAGAACAACGATGAGTTCATGCATAAACATATTCGCAGATTAGTCATAGATTAAACTCTTTTTTGTTTTTGGTAAACAAAAACCTAGGTGTAAACAAACAAACTGCCCTGTGGCCTCCTCGTACATAGGCCACTGGGGCCACCTGTGGCCATCGTGGCGCCACGCGCGCTCGGCTCCTGCAGCCTCGCCCCCGTGTACCCCCAGGGAAGGTTATGTCGGGCGTGTCCCCCTACAGGGAGAGTTTCGACGAAGAATGAAACAATACCCCAGAAATGCCCCCCAAAGGCCAAAACATATCCAAAACATAGTCCCCAGACTAGTTGTGGATTATTTCTTGATCATTTTTGGGGTATTGGAGAGGCCTGACGGCCGGTGCCGCCGACCCTGATCGAAAGGGTTAGGAGTGGGGGGAGGAAGCGGATGATGATGATGATGATGATGATGATGATGATGATGATGATGATGATGCTGATGATGATGATGATGATGCTGATGATGATGATGATGATGATGATGATGATGATGATGATGTGATGATGATGATGATGATGATGCTGATGTGATGCTGATGCTGATGCTGATGCTGATGCTGATGCTGATGCTTGATGATGCTGATGCTGATGCTGATGCTGATGCTGATGATTGCTGATGGATGAGGAGGAGGAGGAGGAGGAGGAGGAGAAGGAGGAGCAGGAGGAGGAGGAGGAGGAGGAGGAGGAGGAGGAGAAGGAGGAGAGGAGGAGGAGGACGATGAGGAGGAGGAGGAGGAGGAGGTTGAGGAGGAGGAAGTGCATCCTTTGTGTGCCCGTTCGAAGAAAGTGCGCCCCGGGAGTGTGATATTCTGATTTGGGACGTGCTCTCGGAAAAGGAAGAAGTGCATCTCGGGCGAGCCCGCTCGAGGAAAATGCGGCCTAGGGGGGTGGTATTTTGACTCGGGGCCCGCTCCCGGGACGCCTCTGCGGGAGGCATCTGCGGGAGGAGGAGAAGGAGAGGGAGGAGGAGGAGGAGGAGGAGGAGGAGGAGGAGGAGGAGGAGGAGGACGAGGAAGAGAGGAGGAGGAGGACGATGAGGAGGACGAGAGGAGGCGGAGGAGGAGGAGGAGGAGGACGAGGAGGAGGAGGAGGACGAGGAGGAGGAGGAGGACGGGGAGGACGAGGAGGAGGAGGAGGAGGAGGAGGAGGAGGAGGAGGAGGAGTGAGGAGACGAGGAGGACGAGGAGGACGAGGAGGACGAGAGGAGGGAGGAGGAGGAGGAGGAGGAGGAGGAGGAGGAGGAGGAGTGGGGAGGAGGAGGAGGAGGAGGAGGAGGAGGAGGGAGGAGGGGAGGAGGAGGGAGGAGGAGGAGGAGGAGGAGGAGGAGGAGGAGGAGGAGGAGGAGGAGAGGAAGAGGAGGAGGAGGAGGAGGAGGAGGAGGAGGAGGAGGAGGAGTGCATCCTTTGTGTGCCCGTTCGAAGAAAGTGCGCCCCGGGAGTGTGATATTCTGACTTGGGACGTGCTCCCGGAAGAGGAAGAAGTGCATCTCGGGCGTGCCCGCTCGAGGAAAATGCGCCCTAGGGGGGTGGTATTTTGACTCGGGGCCCGCTCCCGGGACGCCTCTGCGGGAGGAGGAGGAGGAGGAGGAGGAGGAGGAGGAGGAGGAGGAGGAGGAGAGGAGCAGGAGGAGGAGGAGGAGGAAAAGGAGGAGGAGGAGGAGGACCAGGAGGAGGAGGAAGTGCATCCCGTGCGTGCCCGCTCGAGGAAAGTGCGCCCCGGCGGGCGTCGTATCTGCCCCGGCCCCCCCCCCTCCCCCCCCCTGCGGGGAAGGGATCAAAGGGAAGGGGCTTCCCTTCGACTCCACTACGACGTCGTTTAATTTCGCTTTGGATAGCGCGCTTGAGGAGGAGAGCCCTGGGAGGGGGAGAACGGAGACGACGGAGACGACGAGTCGAACGGAGAAGCCCCTCACACACGCCGACAGGGTCGGCGGATATGGGGAGTCCTGTTCTTCGTGTCTATTAATGTGTGTCCCCGGGCCCCTTCAAAACATAACAAATGGGTAGCATAAAAATATTCGGCGGCTCGTTCGGCTCCTCGGCGTCCTCGGCGTCACCGAAATCGCTCGGCCCGCTCGTCCTCGGACTATCGTGGCGTCCTCGGCTCGCCCGAGCGCTGCGGGCGGAGCCCCTCGTGGTGCCCGCGCGAGGCGTTTTTCCGGGGGGCGCCGCGCGCGTTCGGGGGCCCTTCTTGCGGTACTCCAGATTTCGTAATAAAAGGGAGGGGGTCTCAACCCTCCCAGACGAGAAGTTTTAGACCCCCCTCGTGGGAGAACCCTCCAAAACACCGTCCCCAGACCCCCCCAGGCCCTCCAAGATAGCCTGGAAGAGACACCCCCCGAAATGAGACCCCCCTCCCTTTATTACGAAATCTGGAGTGCACATTACTCGGCGGCAGGCGCGCTCGGGTCCCGCCGCCGGGGTAATTCGGGGGTGGACAGAACCCCCAACAGTGACACGTCGATTAGTGAACTGTCCGTTTTCGGTTCTCGAGAGGGCGCCGTGGCCGTCGTTTTCCAAGCTTGCGCCCGCCAGGTTTGGGCGTGAGGTCGTTTTCACTAAAGCACGTTTTACAAAAGGGGGGTCTGTCCATCCCCGAGTAATGATCTGAGCTCATGTTCAAGCAGTGGCGAAGCGTCCTGGCTCGCCTTTAGCCCTACCAAGCAATGTTCCTAGAACCTTTTTTTGTGGTTTGCGCAATGATTATTTGAGCATGTCTGGCGAAGTCTGCCTTGTTCTATATCGTCGGGTTGATGATCTAAGAACCTTATGTTTGTTTTTAGAACATTTTTGGGTCTGTCCTCCTACAGCGGGACGCTGGACGGAAATCAATAATCAAACCATGCCCCAAGATGGGCAACTCATGCTCAAAACATCGTTCCCAGTCTATGTGTTATTATGTTTGAATATTCCGGACATGCCCGACTTCAGGGCAATGTTCTGTGCTAAGATCGGCGTCACCCCAACATACTTACACTATATGTGCGTCGCCCCCGCGGGGGCGATGCGCGCACGGAGAATTCTTATAGTATATGCGCCGTGGCAGGGTGCATGTTGGCCACACCGATCGGGGAACGATGTACTACAAGACGGGTATATACTATATGTTTGGGTCGGACGCGCTCTTAGTATGTCTCCGCGCGTCCCAAAAGATGCTTGTACGTGCTACAACATTTCGGGGCACGAAGGATGACATAAACATCAAAACTCGGAGGTCCGCGCGGATTTCTCGGATCGGCGCCTGACCACCCTGGCGGCGCCTCAGGCGCCGCTTCTGGCGCGCTCCGCGCGCGCGCGCCAGGGATGGAGGTGCAGCGCCGATCCGAGAAGTCCGCGCGGACCTCCGAGTTACGTATGTTTTTGTGTTCAGACGTGCGCATCCATGCTGGGCGCCAAGTGCTAGTCTGTTCCCCTGTGCCCCACTCCAGGCGGACCTCGCGTGGTGCCCGCGCAACTTCCTGCACCGCTGCCGCCTCGTCTTCGGCGACACCTCCGGGACCGCGCGCGAGGCAGGGGCCCATTTCGATCCGCTTGACCCGACTCGCTGAGGACGCCGGCCGGCCCGATCCGATTCCGCTACGATATTTCGGCGATCCGATGCGGCCCGATGCTCGCATGGCGTCGTCATGCATCCTGGCGTGGCCGATCCGATTCTCGAGTTCGATTCCGCGCCGATGCAGACGGGTGCGATGCTCAGGATCGGGTACCTGTCCCCATCCCCACCGTGTCGTGGTGTCTCATGACGAAGCAACAACACACACCCATAGCCGTAAGGGGGGGCGGAGAGGGCTATGGGTGCGTGTTGTCGCATGGGGGTCCCGCTCGAAAGGGAGCCTTCCCCAGGGTCCGACAACCCGCACCCACCCATAGCCAGTCCTCCTCCCAACGACCCCCCTATGGGTATGTGTGTGTTGTTCGTTCGTCAATCTCAGCCCCACCATCCCACCCCAGAGTAGGGTGTCGGCACATCGAACCCCTAAGGGAACAGCCTACATCCCCATCCAGGGTGCTATAAATCGGTGGGGGCCAGGGCACGCCAGTGGGGAAAGGGGATCGCTTAAAAGATTCTCAGATGCAGCCCGATCCGATGCACATGTCGATTCTCGGCTGCGAGCGAGGGGGGGGGGGGCTGAGGAGGAGAAGGCCTTCTCAGAAGGCGGCGGGACTTCTCAGAAGCCCTCCAGCCTCCCAACGGAGTTTCCTGTGCCTTCGGGGGAGGCTGAGGAAGCTTCTCACAGGAGGCTGGGGGTCTTCCCAGCCCTTTGGAGGAGGAGGAGGAGGAGGAGGAGGAGGAGTAGGAGGCGGAGGAGGAAGAATGAGGAGGAGGGGAAAGAGGAGGAGGAGGAGGAGGAGGAGGAGGAGGAGGAGAGGAGGAGGAGGAGGTGGAGGAGGGGAGGAGGAGGAGGAGGAGGAGGAGGAGGAGGAGGGGGGAGGCACCGGGCACCGTGGTGGCTCACCCCATGGCAAGATGTTAACGTATCCGTCCCAGGACGTCCGCGCCAGCCGTTCACGTCTAAGTCGGACGTCTTAAACGAATCCATGTAACTTCAAGCCAGGGGGTCTGCCACCACGGTGCCCGACTTAGTGGTGCGCGAGCTGTTTCTTCCCGCGGCCGCGCGCCCCCTCCGCACGTGTCATTCTGTCGGCGCACCCCGCGCCGCCCCTCACTGCTACTTCCCACTGAAGCCGTGCTTCTTCTGCCACTCCGATGCCTGTTGGGGCGTCACTACGGACCGAGCAGCGAGGAGGGCCAGCATGGGAGGAGGGCGGGCGCACTGCCAATGAGCGGGTCGATGACTCCATCATGGTGGAAACACGAGGGTAAAGGTATCCATATACAACCAGAGCGAGGCATTGCCCGTGCCTGCGCGCCTCGCGGGTCGTGCGCATCTCCGGGCGACGGCTTCAACACCTTCTTGTCGAACGCCCTCGGATCCACCTTGTCACCGACACTGGCGAGGCACTCGCGCACGGCCGCTGCCACCCCGCTGCCTCCGGGAGACTCGCCCACGCTGTCTCCTGGCACACAGACCAACTGCCGAGCGCGGTCAGCAGCCTCTCCATCGGCGGCCGCTCGCGCGGGCAGCCAGCAGCGCCTGGAACGCCACTGCGAAGACCACCTCCTGGGCCTGCCACTACCACCGGCTGACGAGCGGGCACTGGAGGCCGCGGGAGCGCGGGGGGCACGGATATGAAGGGGCCCTGGGACACACACATAAATACACACAAGTAAAATAAACCCTCGTTAAAAAAAAAATCTGGATCTTTGTCTTCCCGCCCAATTCCCATATTTTCCCTTATTTCCTGGGGAATCGACGATTCATTGTGTCTGTGTGTGTTTTTTTCCCCCCTCCTGAGGACAGGCAGCGACGCGCCGCCCCCGCGCCGCCCCCGCGCCCACGCAAGCACTCCTCCGCAGCGCTCGCCTTCCTCGAGGCGCCGCTGCCCTGCGCGCCTCTGCGCTGCTGCCCGCCTGCGGAGCTGCGCGGCCGGCGTCCCCCGCCGCCTCCATCAGGAGGGGAAAAAAACACACAGACACAATTAATCGGCGATTCCCAGAAAATATAGGGAAATATGGGAAGTGGGGGGGAAGACAAAAAACCCAGAAAATATGGAAAAATATGGGGGATATGTTTATTTGTGTGTATTTATTTGTGTGTCCCAGTTCCCCTTCACTCTAGCTCTCGCGCTTCCGCCTCGGCGTGAAAGGCCAGGGCACGTTCTCGGAGCCCCGAATCATCAGGGGTAACTCGGGTCAGGGCTAACTCGGGTTCGTTTTTCGGGAATCCAAGCCCGAGTTACCCCGGACCCGAGTCACCCCGGATAATTCGGGCGTCCAGAGCCCCAAATCATCAGGGATAACTCGGGTCAGGGCTAACTCGGGTTCCTTTTTTCGGGAATCCAAGCCTGAGTTACTCCGGACCCGAGTTACCCCGGATAACTCGGGCGTCCAACGTTCCACGCGCAAGCGCGCAGCCGAAAGCCGAGGAAACTCTGGGCGATCCTCCAGCAACAGAACGCCAGCACCGCCAGCAGGCGCGAGGAGCACTCCAGGGATCTGCGGTCCTCGTTCAAGAAGACCTTCCGCGGCAGAGCCCTAGAATCCCACAGAATCCTCCCCGGCCTGCTGGCAGCCCAGCTTCCTGCCCCCCAGTTCCGACGAGCCCTCTGCGGCCGCAGCGCCGTCGCCAAGTCGCACAGCGTCCTGGGAGGTCCATCTGCTACACATCATTGCCCACTTCCTTCCCTTCTTTCTCCTTCCTCCTTCTTCCTTTCTCCTTCCTCTCCGTCCTCTTGGTCCTGCCCCCCTACATCGATCCAGATTCGTGTCCTGATGTGTGGGAGGATCCACCCAGCTCTGCCGTCCCAATCTATCGGGCGCTCGGTCGGCACGGAAAACACCGGGCCGAGACGCGTCGCAGGAGAGCTCGGCGAACTCGGGCGCCCAACCCAGTGCGCCAAGCCTGCGGAGGTACCGAGATTCCCTTTCCGCCTTTACCACCTCTGCCTCCTCCTGCTTCTCCTAAACGTCCTCCTATTCGTGTTCCTCCCCCTGTTCCTGCTCCTGTTCCTGATCCTGCTCCTCCTCCTGCTCCTGGTGCTCCTCCTCCTTCTCCTCCTCCTCTGAATTTGGAGCCTGCCACGTGGCGGGCGCGTTCCCTTGCCGCTGCAGCCCCCTGCGGCGCCGGAGCTGCAGAAGACGATGGCTCCTGTTGCTCTTCCTTAGAGATGCAGACCTCGATAACTTCTGGCGCTGGCGAAAGCACACCTCGCCGCCACCGAGCGCGGCATGTGCCCACCCCGTCGCGCGTTCCCCACTTGAGCACGGACGCTGCGGTGTGTGCCCCCCTTTACCATCACACGTATTTTCTAAGGTGAAACGCGCATGGCCGCCGCCTTCCATCATAATTTCCGTGTGCTTCGTTCATCAGCTTCAAAAACCGTTTCTCTTGGAAGCCCACACATTAGGCGCGAATGTGCCCAAACCCCAATAATAACAAAATCGACCATTAACGTTTAACATCATTTTCCGCTCCTGGGTATCGACACTGTGAAACACATCAGCGGCGGCCATTTGCATGTCATCCCACAAAACACATGTGAATATGACATACTCCGACAAATATCCTCTGCCCCTACCCGAGAGATGTCATAATCGGTGAGCCACCACGGTGCCCAAAGCGGGGAGGAGGAGGGGGAGGGGGAGGGGGAGAGGGAGGGGAGGGGAGGAGGAGGAGGAGGAGGAGGAGGAGGAGGAGGAGGAGGAGGAGGAGGAGGAGGAGGAGGAGGAGGGAGGAGGAGGTGGAGGAGGAGGAGAAGGAGGAGGAGGAGGAGAGGAGGAGGAGGAGGAGGTGGAGAGGAGAGGAGGAGGAGGAGGAGGAGGAGGAGGTGGAAGAGGAGGAGGAGGAGGAGGAGGAGGGTTCAGCTGCCAATCCGATGCTGTCGGATCGGGAGGCCGTGGAGCCTCTGCCCGCCGACCTGCGGGGCGCCCTGGCGGCCTGCAGCTTCCAGGACTCCGCGTCGGCGGCCGCCGTGCGGCGCTTGCTGCAGGGCGGCGTGCCGGCCGGCTGGCCCGACGAGGAGTAGCCCAAGAAGAGCGCCTTGGGGTGAACGGGCCCTGAGGGAAGCGCGCCCTGGAGAAGGAGGGGGAGGAGGAGGAGGAGGAGGAGGAGGAGGAGGAGGAGGAGGAGAGGAGCATAGGAGGGGGAGGAGGGAGGAAGAGGAGGAAGAATTGAGGAGGAGGGGAAGGAGAGTAGGAGTATGAGTAGGAGTAGGAGTAGGAGGTAGAGTAAGGAGTAGGAGTTAGGAGTAGGAGTAGGTAGTAGGAGTAGGAGTAGAGTAGGAGTAGTAGTAGTAGTAGTAGTAGATCGTAGTAGTAATAGTATAGTAGTAGTAGTGTAGTAGTAGTAGTAGTAGTAGTAGTAAGTCGTAGTCGTAGTAGTCGCAGTAGTCGTAGTAGATAGTAGTAGTAGTTAGTAGTAGTATATATAGTAGTAGTAGTAGTAGTAGTAGTATGTAGTAGTAGTAGTAAGTAGTAGTAGTAGGAGTAGGAGGAGGAGGAGGAGGAGGAGGAGGAGGAGGAGGAGGAGGAGGGGAGAGGAGGGGGGGGAGGAGGGGGGAGGGGGTCGGGGAGGTGGAGAGGAGGAGCGGAGGAGGAAAGAGGAGGAGGAGGGAAATAATATTGATAAGCGTAGTCTGAATACTAAGAAGACAAGGCGATACAGAAGGCCCGAACACCGCGCGAAAACCGCGAGTCTCAGATGTGGGGAGGAATAGGAGGAGGAGGAAGTAGGAGGAGGAGGAGGAGGAGGACCGGAGGACGGAGTGAGGGAGAGAGGAGGAGGGAGGAGGGAGGAGGGAGGAGGGAGGAGGGAGGAGGGAGGAGGAGAAGGAGGAGGAGAGGGAGGAGGGTGGAGGGAGGAGGGAGGAGGGAGGAGGGAGGAGGGAGGAGGGAGGAGGGAGGAGGGAGACTGTAGACGGGAGGCGGGAGGCGGAGGCGGAAGAGCGAGTCGAGGAGCGAGGAGGGAGGGAGGGAGGAGGAGGACGGAGGAGGGAGGAGGGAGGAGGGAGGAGCGAGTTGGGGGGAGGAGAGGAGGAGGAGGAGAGGAGGAGGAGGAGGTGGAGGAAGAGACGGTGGAAGAGGAGAGGAGGAGGAGGAGGAGGAGGAGAAATAGGAGGAGGAGGAGAAGGAGGAGGAGGAGGAGGAGGGGGAGGAGGGATGAGGGAGGAGGGAGGAGGGAGGAGGGAGGAGGGAGGAGGGAGGAGGGAGGAGGGAGTGGAGTGGAGTGGAGCCCGTTGCGCAAAGCAAGTTAGTGGCATGAGCATCGGATTACATAGCACTCGACCGCATGGCCTTCTGCTCGGCCTGGCTGAGGACTTTCGGCTTCCTGAGGGCCGCAATCCGATCGAGGTGTTCCTGCCGATTCTGCTTGATCCTACCCGAACGCTGCCTTCTGAGAAGTTTATTATGCTTCTCAGCTATGGCTCCACACGTGGTGCAGAACCAGGTATACAGGGACGTATGCACATTAAGGGTGTGAGTTTGGTGCGCCCAAGCTCCCGCTGTATGAATACGCTCCCCCACCTTAGGATAACTAATAGCCCCATCGACGTTATAAAGCTCGGGACACTGTGTGGTCCACCACGCTTTCATGGTGGCTTTCGTAGCCGGGCAAAAACATTGGAGGCATTTCCGACGGTCTTCAGACAGGGTATGACCCGACAGAAACGCAGCAACCGCACTAGCAGAGGGGACAGGCTGAGGAGGAAAGGCGGCAGGAGCCTTCCCTCTCATGTTCCTGGCCTCGGTCTCCGCGGCCTCCGTCGCCGCCGCACTGTCCAGCGTTGCCCTGAGCAACCGCATGCGTATCTGAAATATCTGATTGTCTTCCTGCAGCACTCGTGCTCGTACATGTTCGGGAACTCTGGCCAAAGTGGCTGCATGTCCTGCCAGTTCGTCGGCCACAGCGTTGCCGACAATCAAAACAATGCATTCCAGTCCTTCTGCCATCTGCTCAGCCGTGTAATGCGGCTGAATGAGTAGAACTGCAATATGTCTACCTTTCGAAACTTGAGCAATCTGGTTCCAAACATCTGCGTCCTGCCCAGTAAGATTGTCCGCTGTGGATGCATACCAACCTTCAACAACATAGCCGCAGCCCGTGACGATCACGAGAGATCCCCGAAAATGCGTGATAGCCAAGAGAACAGCAACCAACTCCCCTCGTGCCACGACTTGTCTAGGGCCCGTCAAAAGGCCCCGCGACGCAAGAAGCGGCCTCAGGAACTTGAAGGTTGGTCATACGTACGATCGCAATGTCCAGTCTGCGCATGATGGGTGAGTGGGCGCCTGGACCTCCGCTAGCATCTCCGAATATCCAAACGGGGCTGCAGTCCGAGCCGTGCCCCATACAATCTGGCTCCATTTGATGAAAACCTACATACCGCCAGCTAGGTTGATCAGGAGGTGGAGGTACTGCAACCAGGTGTTGGGGCAGCAGGCCTTGGAGCCAGTACGCCTCACATGCGTCGGACTGCGTCAAGGCTTTTGGCGCTGAAGAATCTGAAAACGAATACGCCTTGGAACCGACATTCTTGGGGCATGTCCACTATCTATGCAAGGGGGGCTCATCGTGTTGACGGCAACGATCACAACTCCCGTCGCCTGAGTACCGAGGTAGGGTGTCCCGCTTGCGTTGGTTGGCTCATGCCCCCCCCCCCCCCCCCCCCCCCCCCCCCCCCCCGGTTGCAATATTTAACATGACTTCCGACAACCTTCCAACAACTGTCGTAGCGAAGCGCTGCTGACGCCATCTTCAATACCTCAACCGCAGTAATGTTGGCTGGCCTTGCGCCACAAGACCCCGTGTGCTGTGCCCTTGGCGTCCTGGAGCAGAGCCACGTGGCTGTCCAAGGCCTTGGCCCCCGTGTAGCAGCTGTCCTGACATTGCCATTCTACTTCTGTCCCCTGCTGGTTGATGCACGGCCGCGCTGACGGGGGCGTGGGGGCCCATCCTAGCCTCAGAAGCGTGAGGGCCACCGCTGAAATATGACCCTGAACAGCACGAGCCTGCTCCCGAGGGGGGGCAGTTGTTGCATTCTAGTGACCACTGACGGCCATGCACGTGCAATGCTTTTCCTCAAGTCCGGATGCGATTCCCAATCGGGAGCTATAGGTCGATCGTTCGCGTAGCCACCGTAACTGCTGGATCCATGCCGCTTGCCGTCAAGTCTAGCAGCGTGGTGAGGCAGCGTCCCATTGCAGCTGACGCGCATGAGGCTCCCAATCCCCTGCGGCACTCTGCGAGGTGTTGCCCGGACGTGCCATGCACCTGGAGGCCGTAGCCTCAAGCTGGTTGTGCCCCTGCTTTTTCCAACTTAGAAACCTGACGATGCTGCTTGGCGGCCCTCGCGAACTTTCTGATTGTTGTCGCTCACCTGCTTGTGTTTGTCATCCCTTTTGACACGCTGCCCGCGGCCATGGCGGCCGCAGCTGAAATCGATACCCAGGTGCGTTGACTGTTTCACAGCAACCACGTTGAAACCACGAAGCCGAACCGACCTCGCCACTGCTGTGGCGTCCTCCATCTTAGTACACATAGCAATCGGTTTCGGTGAAAACTTGAGCTTCCTCCTGGCAAGAGCTTTGCCTGTGTCAGCAATCACTTTGGTGAGACCTTGCCTAACTGACTTAGTCGATCCTGTGATTGTCTGTGACATATTATCTATCCAAACTCGGTGCCCCATATGTGGGCTTGATGACGTAACTGTGTCTATGATGAAATCTGTCATGATTCGTGCGAATCTAGTACCTGACCGTAGTCATTGCACTATACCATGGCTAGGCTCGCATGGAACTGACGCGGCGCCATCTTGAAGGAGGCACCTACACATCACGCGTTGAACTAGTTCCAAGTGAAGAATAACTGGAGGGAGCCCCATCTTGAGTGCCGCTCTTGCTTGCATGTCCCACGGAATAGAATCCTAAAGTTGATGCGCGTCTATGATGGCGTGCCCGAAATTCATCTTCATGGAATGCGCCATCTCCTCATCGATGGCACTGAGGTAGGCCTCTCTTAAACTGGAATTGCCCTCGACGGCCGCGCCCCATGCTGCAATATTCTGGGATAGCCATGCTTTGACCAGTGGCTCGCGCAGCAGCGACCAACGCCTCGCCACCATCGTGGGAATACCAATGGCACGATCTCCAGTCTGTTTCTTCGGAATGAGCCGACAACGAACCATCATCAACTGAATTGGCCATGCGAGTGTTGATTCAATTGGCTGGAAGATAGATGCCATCTCCGAAATTGCACCCCGCGGCAGCCTCTGGAAGCCCACTGGCGTGAACATCTCCACCCCGAGGCCCGCTCGGGCCGACATCTTGGCCGCCGTGGCGCATGCGCCCTCTGCTTGGATGGGCGCCAGCTCATTGAACTCAGCGTCCTCCCGCGTGACACGGAACGTCTCGATCGCGACTTGTCTGTCCATCGGCACTGGGGCCCACAACCTGGTGAACTCCGTCTGCTTGACGCCCATCAGGTCATTGGGATGGAATGCGACCTCTGCCCCCGCCATAATCTCTTGTGGCGGGGGCGGCTGGGGCTTCAAAGCCCGATGCAGAATGCCCTGGGTAGACCTTGTCATTAGAAATCCAATTCTTGAGCTCCTGCAGCGGTTCACGCAGCGAGGCAGATCCCCCGCGAAGACGCAACATACAACGATAGGATCTCGACCGTGACAGAGAGCGGGTTCGGGGGATGTCTACCAGTGGCCCCAAGCAGGATCTCCGTCAGCCTTGATCAACAAATGCGGACCTCTCGGGCGAGACCCGTGGAGACACAAACGCGCCGAAATGAACTGTGGAATCCGCTTGTCGCGCATTGTTCTTCCCGGCTAGCTTGCCAGAGTGACGTGCAGCATTGCGATGCAACCGGAGTCGTTGCTGACGACTCTTGCTATCAAAATTCCTGAGCCCAGACTTTAAGTGAACATGAGTTTCCGTCAGGGCGAAATATGAAATACTCTCTGGACTTGGACTCCACAAACTTCCACGCCTTCCCATTGCCAGACACACTGGTGCTATT